ATACAAATCAGAACACAGCTAAATATATCAAAAATATGTCTTTGTGATATTAGAATTTTCTGAGACAATGAATTTTGGTTTTTCTTTTTCTTTTTCCCAGTAAGAGGTTTTTATTTAATAGAATTTTTGGACAAAAAAATCGCGATATATCACAATATATCGCCTTGCTTACCGTATCACAATATATCGGGATATATCGTATCGTGACCCCTCTGTCATGATATGTATCGTATCGCCAAATTCTTGCCAATACACATCCCTAATCAATATTGAACGTTAATATCGGCCCAGTTTTACATTTCAGACCGATACGATATTCTAAAAAAATGACCAATATTGACCGATGATAGTGCCGATATATCGTGCATCCCCATCTACAGTCATGTAATTTTGAGGCTGCAGGTCGTGTAAGCAGGTGAATGATCGAGTATGAAAGAACAAACGCTATTTTTGACTGCTAAGATGTTTATTTTCACAAATAAGGACTAAACTCTGGGAGCTTGATTTGATGTTGGTTTGACAATTATATGATAAATCGTCCTGCCGTACACTGTGACCTGGCTGCTCGTCGGTTCCTCCACTCCTCCTACAGACCGAGGCATGGCGAGCACGAAGGCCAGAAGGGAGTGTGAGACGGAGGGCTGCAGCAAGGACGCCAAACTTCAGTGTCCCACATGTATCAAGCTCGGTATTCAAGGCTCCTATTTCTGTTCACAGGTACTGCAGCTTTTTATCAGCTTGTCCGGGTTTTAATAAGTAAATAGCAGCTACACGCCGGGGCCCTCTCTGTCACAGACAGGATGCTAGCTGTCATGCTACAAATAGGATGTTAGGAGTCTATAAACCATTTATAACTACTTGTTGGAAAACKTCGACGATTATATTTTAGTTAATGACATCCAGGCTTCTAGAAGGGAATAAAAAAAAAAGAAGTGATTAGGTCAGAGCTCTTAGAAATAAGGCCCAGATAAACGTTTTGCTAGCTACATGCTGTCACAGTGAAAACTAATTCAAATGAAAGAGATGAAACTGTCAGGGTAAAACTGTGAATCAGAATGAAGGAATTAATGTTGAAGACATTCTTTGTGTTTCAACAAACTAGCAGGTGAAGCCAAGTGGAAAGTGATCATTTGATGCCACGATGTCTGAGCTCCATCCAGGTTTCTTCTTGCAGACTGAGACCCAATTCCACCTTAAAATCTATACTTTTAAAGTTGGACTGCTTTTAAAACTGCTTAACACTATGAATCCCTTAAAATGTCTGATAAAAGCTGCTGTTTATATAGTGTACAGATAATTATCTTCTCTTTTTTCTTGCATGCCAGGTCCTGACAGTCACATTTCAGTAGTTTTGTTTTAAAGTTTGCTTCTTTCTTTATTCCTGTCAGACACTGAACAGTTCCTGGACAAGTCACTTGTATGTCAGAAGCTAATAGTTGGGTCCAGTGCTAACTTTGCTTCGGTGTCTGCTTTCAGAAAGTTTTTGCTGAGTTTGCAGTTCAGTTCAGACTGAGCTTGTGTGTGTTTTTAGTTTATATCCTGTCCTCACGTTGACTCGTCTCGTTAGAGATTTAGCCGAGGATTTGTTCACTTTAAAGCGGACGTATCCATCTAAGTCCACATTTTTAGCCATTAAATGCATTTTGTTGTGAACGTGGAGTCTTTAGGAGTGCTGAAAAGTTAGAATTTAGTCTCTGCATAGATATCTTTATATTCAGTTTGAGTCATATTTTTCCACTCGTACAGTTTTCTGTGTTCTTTACGATGTTTTCTGAACAATTCTGTCACAGTATTTGTGACAGAACTGCTAAATACGGTCTGGTTTTACCAACTAGAGTGGTGGTCTTCATTGTCCTCTGGCTCTGGGTCAAACTCTGGCTCCAACATGTAAAGCTGGATGGACAGGTCTTCCCTTGTTGACATCTTTTAATTAATTTGTAAATAAAACATTTCTGTGCAGCTATATAGTCGTAAACCCCTCTTTCAAACTAGAATGAAATGGTCTGGAAGCTGGAGGCAAGGGCTGCCACGATTAATCGACGACTAATCGATTATTAAAACAATCGATGACTAATTTAATAATCGATTAATCGTTTTCTTTTTCTTTTTTTTGTTCTTTACTTTGTTTTTCTCTCCAAACTGCTTTGACGCCTTCCACTGCCAC